AAACTCTATAGGATCGCTCTCCTTCCTAGTGGTGCCTTACAAATCATCCTCACTACTAAGTCTCACCGCGTGCACTTAATCCTTACCTCCTTCTATGGGATTCACTTCTATGTAACTTGGTAGCTTATCCTTAGGCCCATTGTTTAAAAGGTTAGTCCACTACCCAATTTGATTCTCTAAGTTTATCATAGTTGTTATTTGGCTTTATCACTGGTTCCCCATGTTGACTACCAAATCGTCTCAAGATAATTCATCCTTCCTAATTTTGGGGATTAGAAGTCAATCCAAATGGATAATTTTTTCTAAAGTAGTCACTACCTAAGTTGTTCCAATTTCCTATAAGATTAGCTATGGTGTTCTCCCACTATTAGTTTCCTATACTTGGGTTTTATTGTTCCAATTAAAGTTTTGGTAATTCATCCAACCTAGGTTGTAGGTATTGTAATTGCGGTGATTAAGCCTAATTTTTATAACATCCTAGGAAGTAATCTAGAATTACCTTCTAGTCCATAAGTTATCTCATAACTAGGAAGTGATCCTTGCATAAAATTCATTCTTAATTTTTCTACTTTCCTTGACATGCTAATATTTTATAAGGCTAGGACAGTTAACACATCAATTTTATGTCTCCTAGATCCCTTCTTAGAGGTGACTCTCTCATATAACCCTTGAAATCTGTTCATGCCCATTTTCTTACTAAGTGAGTAGGATTCCTCACATTGTTTTGACATAACTAACCCCCAAATACAACATCTATAATTAATATCAAAGGTCCTACCATCCTATTATAGATAATTTGAACAATCAACTAGTAGGTTAGAACATGGTGTAGACACCCCCTAAACAATTTTTTGAACCTATCTCAAACTTTATAAATAATCTCTTCATTAAATTGAGTGAAGAATAGGATGTCTTTTTTATGTTTGACAATCTTGAATTGAGGAAAGTATTGGGTTAGGAATTTTTTGGTTAATTTACTCTAAGTAGAATTTAATCGCTAAGGAGTATAACTAACTCTTATTTTATCCCCAACTAAGAAAAGTAACAACCTTAATCTATAGGCATCATCAGAGACATCTCTAAAATTAAATGTGGCACATAGTTCTAAGAAATTAACTAAATGAAGGTAGGGTTTTCTATAGGTGAACCACTAAACGGATTGTTTGAAATTATTAAGATAAGCTCAGGTTTAATTTCTAATGCATGTGCTTTTATGTGAGGATAATTAGTACTCATGTAAGTTTTTACTGCCCTAGAGATTGGCATACTCCCTGATAGGTTGAAGATGGTTTCCTTGAGCGTTTGACATTTTTAAGTGTTGAAAAAAATTTATTTGAAAATTTCAAAAATAAAAACAAAAAAAGATAAAAAATAGAAATAAAAAAGGAAGTAAAAATACAAACTTATAATTTATGGTTAGAAAATTTTGACTCAATTTTATAGTAACAGTGCAAAAAACCTGATGCCCAAAATTGTTGCAAAATAAGTTGACAAATCACACAAGTATACATATCGATCAAGTAATATATGAATTATGTGTCGGCGTATCAATTTCATAAAAAAATCTGTCAAAACATTCTAACATGTGAAGTTCTAGTTTACTAAACTTCTGAATTTAGTTTGAAGTATCAAATGCACAAAGGCTAAAAGTTTTAAAATACTAGAAGGGAAAAACTAGGCTAACTTTTGTGAAGTTTTTTAGAGATGAAAGGATTATACTCCAATGACATTGGTCTAGTGATTTCTTATTTTTTTTCCTATAAAACTTATGTTGTTGTTGACAACAAGGGTCACAATCCTCTCTAGTCTATGTATAGGTTATAAGAAGTGTTGGAAAATATATTACAGTTAAGATGGACTTAACCATGTAACATTTTTCGGGATTCCTTGAATCCCTTATCTAAGTTGCAATTTCTTAATAATAGTATGTCTATTATATCAGACTATTATATGTTAATCTATTTATTCTTCTAGGTGAATGTTAGAAGTCTTAGATCAAAAGAGACTTTAATATTTTATTGGGTTTGATTTAAATTAAATTAAGACCAAAAAGGTAATACATCAACATAGGAAATCCAAACATAGAAAGAAGTCTAGGGAATAAATTTTATTGGAGAATAAAATTAAGAAAATCACATATCTTACATAACAGAAGTATGAAAATGAGATTAATTATGATGCGTGAAAAAAGAAAGCATGAAATATATTATTGCAGACATACAAAATGAAATAATACAATAGGTATATAAAATTTATATTTGATCCAATTGGTCCTTGAAATACACTGTGATCCTCTCTATTCAATATAAGTTTTCATAGATATTCATCATACAATTACACTCAATCTCTCCAAACTGAGAAGAAATAACTTTATGAATCTTTTCTAAGAAAAATTATTGGAGAAAACTCTAGGCACAACAAAAACACTACTAGAACCTAAAGAGAAGAAGCATTCATAATGTCCATGTGTGTCGTAATCATGCCCTAGCATCTCATTATATAGGTCTAGCCAAAATTTCCATGGAACAACTTGCCAAATCAAGTTTGGTTTGGTCATAGTGTAGCTACACCCATGATAGTTATAGTTACGTCAAGGCTAGTGTAGTTAATCGATTCAGTTGCATAATTATGCTGGATATATAGAGGGCCTAGTGTAATTACGCTAAAGGCTAATGTAACTACAACAATCCACTAAATTTTGTGGTTTTGTATTTTGTCTCTATGATCCTCACTTGACACCTTTTACCTTCAAATTAGCACCATTTAACCATCCACAAATATAAAATCATAATAAATAGTAAAGAAAACATGATCTTAAAGCTGAAAAATTAAGTAAATTTAGATCATATTTATCTTATAGTTTATTGATCCGAAGGTTAGTTTGAAGTGCCAAAGATTGTAAAGATTTAAAGGTTTCTAAATCCTAATTTTGAAAAAGTGAACTCTAAAAGGTTGTGTTTTCTAATGTAAAAATTGTGTGTGAAACCTTAATATTCTTCCAATAAATTTTCAAACTAAATATTGAAAATTTGGGATAATTACTCCTTACTCTACTCCTAGACATAGGAAATGTTAGAACCATACATCATAGTTAAATTCTGCATAGCCCCATAAAGTTTCCCAAGAATTCTCAAGTCTCTTATGTGATTGCAATCTCCTAATAACAATATCATATTTCACTGAATGATTAAGTGTTAACTTATTTGTTTTTGTAGACTACGATCAATGGTCCAAGTTCATAGGAATCTTTAATATTTCAAGTGGCCAATTTGAAAGTAAAAAAGTTCAGAAAGCTAGCACATCAATATTCAATAAACATCACAAAATATTTTAAAAAAATCTCATATATATAATATGATAAATCACACATCCAAATCAAAGAGGTGCAAAGTAATTAGTTCTTAAATATGTGGAAAGAAAAGCAAAAAAAAAAAAAAATCATTAAAAAAAATTGAAAGTATTCTACAAATAAGAATATTCTAACCCAAGAGAAATTTTGATTTGCTCCACTTCAATTCTTCCTTATATAACGAGAGTCCACTTGGATTTACTCTCCCACACTCACAATATATAAAACACATTCACCATACACACACTCCTAAGACCTCTCCTCTCACTATGAAGCAATCTTAATCTGATATGAAAAAATCTCGAATTATGCATATTCATAAAATTCATTGTTGTTACCACTTTTGTCTTTAGTATTATAACATTGGTAACTACACTACACTAGAAGAATCATTGTTGGTTACACATGATTTCTCTAATCCATTGCATGCTTGCTACTTAAACTCCTACCATCCACACCCTAATTATTGTCATCTTTCTTACAAATAATAATAGCCGCGTAATTGTCTCGGTGCCTATATAAAAGTGCTTCATATGACATGTTGAAAAGAAGAATAATACAAGCACCAAAGAGAAAGAATTGGAATAAAGAGTAAGATAGTTAAATCCTGACGATAAAGTAGAATACAAGTTTTTTTTTTTTTAAAATGGAGCTCAACCACGAAAGGAACATTTTCTCCTCCCAAAAGAGCAATCCTATTTTGAGTCCCAAAAAATGTAATAATCTCACTTTTTTGAGAGCAACAACCCAACCAAACCTAATTGTGTTCTCATGTTTATAGAGTAGAACATGAGAAAATAGATGATGAAATAACCCCGAAATTGTTCTCTTCTGTTGTAGTAGATTTAGCCTTTAGATGTCAACAATCAATCATAAAGTGCACCAAATCTAGAACAATAATATTGTGACGACTCCAACTAAAACGGCCATCCTTTCCATCTCAAGCTCTCTACACCAAAAAGCAAAGGAATAGAAACCATTGTTCCCTGCTATATTACATTACTTGAGCTAATCTTTTTTATTTTATTAAACTAATACTAATCATTATGCATTAGTGTTATGTATTGATTAAATTACGTGTAGACATTATAGTTTCTTGTTGATTGTCTTTATTAATTGATTAACTCAATCAATTGCATGCGCGCATGCATATTTTTCAACATGGATCAGAATTACTGGTTGCTTTAACCCAAATAATCGACCGAAGACAATAGAAAAATTAATAATTTATTAAATTTTACAACACAGATCATATTCATGCGATGATAAAATAACCCCGAAAAAAATCAAGTTTAAAAGAAGATAATAAAACCGTCAGTTTCATTTTTTTATTACCGAGTCTTCTACATCATTTATAAAACGATATTGTGTCCAGACAACGAACGTGATGCGTCCACACACGTCCATTGAGTGGACGCAGCTCGCATCCCGACTCCAAACACAATATTTTCTCACACCCCGAATCAAGATTTTAAGCCTAAAAACTAATTAATACAACCTCATCCATTTGGTCATAAAAACTCTCAAATCCAACCCAATAAATGACAACAAAACACAAAGTGTGACCCCCACCAACATTTACTCATTCCCAAGTCCTGCTAAAAATAAAAAAATAAAAAAAAAATAAAAATAAATATTTTCTCACCTCCACTTCATTTTTCACTCCCAACATTTCCCCTCTACATCCTAAACATACACAGATACACAGATCCAATAGCAAGAAGCGAAAATGTTGGCTGGGGAGCTCAACCACCACCTACCCTCTCCCTCCTTTGTCCAACAAACCATTTTAATGTCTCCATCAATTAATTCATTTCCCCCATTTTTCCTCCCCCACATTTCCCTCCATTCCACATACTCTGCCCCACACCTCCCACTTAAAACCTTCCTCCCCTGCTCCGCCATGGCTTCCCCTCCCCCATTCCGGAAATGCCATCATGCTTCCTTTTGAAGTAAAAAGAGCCGCCGCCGGATCTGCGTCTGCGGAGGCCGCGTCCGCCATGGTCGGCCGGCTGCTCAACGAGCTGGTCAGCTTCGTCGTCTTCACCGCCCTCGACCTCCTCGATGCTCTGCTCTGCCTGGTTTTCAAGCTGGCCGATTACGCCTTCGAGTCCAAATGGAAACCTTGCTACTGCTCCTCCTCCGCCCGCGACATGATCGCCAGCACCGGAAACATCCTCATCTCCGAAAGCGGCAAGTCCAAAATATTCTTCCTTTCTTCCACCAAGCTCTATCTGGAGGAGATCTCCGATACCCTGTACGCGCGCCCGCCGCTCCTGTTCGATCTATCGCGTTCCACCATTACTGATCTTCGGAGCCTCGGTTTCTTTCGGAAGAGGGTGGGGGGAAGGAGCACCACTGCTCTGACCATCAACTCCGCCATTGTGGAGATGCTGCAGGGGAAGATCGGCGGGAAGGAGACGCAGCCGGTGCCGCGCTGGGCGCCTGCCGGAGGTGCTCCGGCTGGTGCTTCGGTTCTGCTTCTGCGCGTCTGCTGCTGCACGTACACGCGCAGTGTCCTCCAGGTTGGTAAAGTTTTATTAGAAAAAAATTAAAGTTTGAATTTTTGTAACTGTAACATGTTGTTGGGACTGTAGATGTTGGAGTCTATTTAAAGCAGCTTTAAGTAGAAAGAGTTGAGGTAGACCTAATGCCTCTTATTTTGTTTTTTCAATGCATTTTTAATATATGATATGTGATAAATAATGTGCTCAATATATATATATATATAGGTTTATTTTAATTGAACTTTGGGTTTATTAAGTAGGACTTAGGGTTAAATCATCCATAACATTGTTGGATTTAAAAAGCTTTTTTTTAAATGCAAATGCTTCTTTAAGAGAGCAAAGAGCTATTCGTATGGGTCATTTTAGCCTCAGAATTTATAGAAGTGTCAAATTAATTGATAATTTTTAAATTATGAAGACTATTTTAGCCCCTAATTTATAGAAAAAAATATTGCGTTGGGACAACAGACGCCATAAATCGAAAGGGAACATAAAAAAAAATCGGGTGTATCGCATCTGTTATCAGAACGCAGCTTGCATCCAGATTAGTAGACAATATTTTCTCCAAATTATAGAGACTTTTTTAACACAAATTTAAAGTGTCTAATCACCAATTTAACACTTTTACAAACTAAAATGCTAAGGGTCCGTTTGTGTCAGTTTGTGCCTTTCAAGATCAGCTGCTTATTCTGAAATGCAGCCAGTTGGCCGGCCGCGGGGGTCGACCCGCGACCTGCGTTTAGTGTAAAAACCCAAACACAGTTTCGGATAAGCTGGCGAAACGCGCGAAGCAAACGGTACAACGACGTTCTCAAAATACCGCCCGCACTTATAAGCTGGCCCAAACGTACCCTAAATCAAACATTCTTTTTCTTCAGTTTTAAACCCTTCCAATGTTTATTAAATCTTTAAGTGCTGATTCAAAATGAATGAAATTTATTGGAAATGCAGCCGGTCGGATTAATAAATTGCGTTGAATTGTGCAGATGGTGCGGCGGTGGAGGATGTGGTGTTCATCCATGGATTCATATCTTCGTCGGCGTTTTGGACGGAGACGGTGTTCCCCAACTTCTCGGAGAAGGCGAAATCGAGGTACAGGTTCTTCGCCATGGATCTGCTCGGATTTGGGAGGAGCCCTAAGCCGGCGGACTCGCTGTACACGCTCCGGGAACACGTGGAGATGATCGAGCGGTCAGTTTTGCAGCGGCATGGGGTGCGGGCCGTCCACATCGTCGCTCACTCCCTCGGATCCATTCTCGCCCTCGCTCTTGCCGTCAGGCACCCCGACGCCGTTAAGTCCCTCACGCTTCTCGCCCCGGTATAATACTATTACTACTAGCTATCACATTTATGCCGTGGCAAGTTCAGCCCCCATGCTTCCCATAAAATTGGAGAAAATATTCAGTTCAAATATTGTACGTTTGGATGACCAACTATTGAGCGATGAGTCATCATATATCTTATTAGCGTGGGATGTGGCGCCTGGTGGTTGGTTTTTCGGACGTGCAGACAGAATATTTTTTTCATAAAACTGCCCTCAAATCCAATTTTTTTTTTAGAGAAAATATTGTGTCTGGATGATGCAAGTGCAGACAAACAATTAGAGTTACTTGGAATCGTATTAACCTATCACATTTGCGGGCGACTTGATGACGTGTTGGTATTGTCTCTTATTTTAGAAGTGTTTGGCTGCTGGAATTATTTAGTACAGTAGGATTTAATGAATTTAGATTTATTAAATCATTAAATTCAAATTTATCTTGATTTGTTCCGATTTTATAAATCCGATGAATAAATTCTGTTAATAGAGTGTCATCAACCACCCCCATAGAAGAAAAAAAGAAAGAAAATCTAATTTTTCCCCATGTGTGGACAAATTATCCCGTACGGACACCGTATGCAAAAATGCATGCGGTGTCCAATCTTCATCGTCGATCACCGCAATCAAAATTTTTTTTTAAAAAAAAGTTGAAAGTCTGGGCCTACCGAAATACATCTTTACAGTGATTGACGGTGGTGTATGACATAATTTTTCCAATGTACGTGCGTGTGTGTCTATATATATATATATTTCGTAACTCTTCAAAGTTGTAGAATTACTTCATCATGAACACATGCATCTTGAACATACAAAAAAAGTCGGCGTGTTTTTGTTATTTAATTATTAAGTTTTGTATACATAAATATCAAAACTTTAATTCCTGAAAGTCCAATAATGTAATCGGATGGCTTAAAATTTTGAGTGTAATTTTAGGTATTACATAATGCAGGAAAGTAAGAACTGTAAAGAAATGTTGATCTGTTCCTTTTTCAGATCAAGTTTTGTCTAATGGAAGATTTATAATGCAGCCCTATTTTCCAGTTCCGAAGGGGGAGCAGGGAACGCAATACGTGCTGAGACGGGTGGCGCAGCGGCGGGGGGGGGCGGCCGCAGCAGCTGGAGGCGGCGCCTGTTGGTACGAGCACATCAGCCGCACGGTTAGCCTCCTCATGTGCAAGCACCACCGCTTTTGGGAGTTCATCTTCCGCTTCCTTACTCTCAACAGGTATCCACCTTCCTTCCCCTTTTTTATTTTCAAATTTCAAGAAATATTATGTCCGAAAGATCAAAAATTTTTCTGTGAAGACTCCTGACTTAGCTCAACGTGTGAAAAAGTGTATTTCTGAGTTATTTTCAGGTTATTTTCAATAATCTCAAAATAATCCAAAAATAACCCGCGGTCTTTATTTTTGGGTTGTTTCGGGAAATAACATAAAAATAACTCAGGAATAACTTGTATCGCACGTAGACGTAAGTCAAGTATCCGGACAGAAAATGCGCGCCCGAATGACGGCGTGGATCGCACTATGCCGTCGAACGTTCGACATGATACGATTCATACTGCCGTCATCCACACATTCTATTAACCAAACGCAATATTTTCTCCTCATTCACGCCCCCAACACATCTCATTGTAGTCTTACCTTGATTTTCAACAAGTTTTTCTTTTACGGCCATGCGGCCAGGCTTCACCGCTTGTCCATACAGTAAATCCAAACAGGTTTCTCTTCTTCAAATCTTGGTTTCATTGGAACACAAAACAAGTTTTTTATCTCACTAAGTGGGGTCGACTACATGAATCATTTTTCTCCATGAAGAAATATTATATCATGACTCATAACGTAATTTACGTTCTGAATCCAATAATTGGGTGTTAAACGCCAATGGGCCCACACAATACACCGGAGTCGGCCAGTGTTAAAAACAATAGAACTCACTTGACACGTGACGCCCCACCATTAGAGTCCGAATGCATTAGAAGTCTTGATGTAATATTTTCTCTTTTCTATCATATTTGCTTTTAATTCTAATAAATTTAAATAATTTTTTATAAAATATGCCTTTCTTAACACATCTAACAATCTATAATATCTACCCTCAACAAAATATATAATTAAAAAAAAAATAATAATAAATAAATAAGAAGGAGCTGAAGAAGAAAACTCTTCCTCCATCCTACAAGGAAGTTATGGCTGCCCCTACAATAATTTGTTGCAAGTCTGACATAATAAATTACAAGAAACAGGGATATTGCCAGCCGAGCTGCTGCAACATAAATGGTTCGTGAGGTAAATATGTAAATATGAAAGTTTTGAATCCTCTATGTACGTGGTGGAGCAGGATAAGGACGTTTCTGATGGAGGGGTTCTTCTGCCACACGCACAACGCCGCATGGCACACGCTGCACAACATCATCTGCGGGACGGCGGGGAAGATCGAGGGGTACTTGGATGAAGTGAGGGACAGGATGCCGTCGTGCGACGTAACCATACTCCACGGCTTGGACGACGACCTGCTGCCCGTCAGCTGCAGCGCCGCGGTTAAGTCGAGGATACCGCGTGCCGATCTCCGGGTGATCGACGGCAAGGATCACATCACCATCGTGGTCGGCCGGCAGAAGGCCTTCGCGCGGGAGCTAGAGCTGATCTGGGAGGCCGCGAATCTCAAAGCGAAGTGAAATTTTTCGAAAAGGCCCCCATCTTTTTTTCTTTTTATATTTTGATTTTGTTCCGCCGATTGAGAAGTCTATTCTTTGGTGTGGTGGATGCGGGCAGATAAATTAGATCGCCGGAAAAAAAAGGTTTACATGGTAGTAAATTATTTGTACTGTTGGTCCACCTGCTCTCCATCTTCTGGGCTTTTCTTTTTGTTTATTTGACTGGACTTTGCATTTATGTCTCGTTTGGTGAAAATTGGGTTCGAAGTAGGGGTGTAAATGAGCCGAACACGAGCTGACGAACAAAAAGATTATGTTCGGCTCGTTTATATTTTGAGCTCAAAAAGTGTATTCGTGTTCAGCTTGTTTGTTTTGCGAGCCGAGCACGAGCTGTTCACGAACGAAGAGTCATTTTGACAACCCTAATAGCGTAACCATAATATCCTAAGGATTGGGGCAAGATTTAAAACATTATTTGAAGCTAATCTAATAATTTTTAGTCTATTTTTCTTAATTGATAATTTTAATTGATCATAAATCTTTATAGCCTTGTAGTTAATTAAACTTTTTCAAAATTCTACCCATCAAATATATATATATATAGAAATGATTATCTTATGAGCAATTTTTTCATATCAAACTAAAGAGACTCGGAGTAATCTCATTTTCAATTTGTCGTGATGATTATTTTGTGTTGCATTCTTGAAGATTCGAAATTGATGATGTAATGTCTCAGTGTTTTAGGAAAATACGGCACACACACAGATGAGTGAAAAAGTTGCGGGAGAAGACAGCACGATTTTTACATGAAAATCTCGAAGAGAGAAATAGCTAGCCGAGATAAAAAGAACTTTCACTGTAATTGTGTAATTAGGAAGATGCACGCCTGTGCTTGTCCCATAATTGGGAAGGAAGACATTCATAGTGATGGGAGCGGTCGCAGGGGCGGGAGGATTTAATTTGGGGTTGGGGTTGATGGATTTGCATTTCATGTCAGAAAATAATTAAAATGTTCTATAAATGAAAGTACGGCTGATACACCGAAGACACTAAAGAGTGGGGCCCACTCCCTCAAGTATTTAGGACTGTGGGTCCCACAACTCGGTGCTCTCGTGGGGATCTGATTACTGTTTTCTGATAAAATATTATTTAGTATTTTTTTGGGAAAGATTATTCCATAGAGACGACAGTGCCGTTGATAGCTTTTATCAATATTTTCTTTTAAAAAAAAATAAGCCCATCAAAATATAACTTAGGTTTGATCAACGGTGGAGATCGGAAGGTGCATGTGCATGCACAGTCCGTATGGAATATTTTTTCCGTGTTCGGCTCGAGCTCAAAAAGAATGTTCGTGTTCGGTTTGTTTACTTAGCGAGTCAAATACGAGTCATTCACGAACAAAGAGTCGTTTTGATAACCCTAATCACATAGCCATAAAATGTTAAGGATTATGGCTAAGCTTTAAAAATATTGTTTATATTAAAATATTATTTGAATTTAATTTAATAATTATTTTATTTTATTTTCTTAATTAATAATTTTAATTGATTATAAATCTTTGTAGCCTTGTAATCAAATAAAATTTTAAAAAAAATTACTCATTTATATATATATATATATATATGTATAATTGATGAGTAGTATTTTCAACCAAAACGAGCCAAACACTAATGAACAAATTCTCGTCCGTGTTCGGCTTGTTAACTTAACAAACGAGCCGAACACGAGCTATTCACGAACAACGAGCCGTTTTGACAGCCCTATTTCAGATAGTATTTACCTTTTTTTATTTTTAATAAAATAAAATATAAATCTTTAGCATCTTGTGCATAGTAGAAATTAATCGGAACCACTACTATTGCTTCTTCAACACTATCATCACCTAATGAGCATGCCTTAGAGAATATGTAAATAACCCTACAATCCTGTAAGTGATGGAAATGCATGAAAATGAGTAGAAAGCTGACCAAAAAAAGATTGATAGCTAATAGGATTAATACAATTAGTCAATAGAGCTTTTAAAAATGTCGATCAACATTTTGTATGGCTAGAGCATACCTTAATCACTCCTTCCTTTATCACAATTCTTAAAATCTCTTTAGAGTTCATTTATAAAAGCATTATGCACTTCTACTTTGGAGGAATCTATTGTAATGTCTTTCATTGTTTTGTTTTGTTGTGGCTTGCTCAACAAAGCTTCGTTCTTTGTAATCTACTCAAAGGCTTGACAAATCATCTATGTCGATCGCATGATAGACTAAGTTATTTGATTAAAGCACTTTAAAGAGTTCTCAGTGTCTATCTCTCTCTCTCTCTCTCTCTCTCTGTCTTCTTATCAAGTTATTTATTGGGATTACTTGTTTTCCTCTCTCTCTATCTCTCTCTCCCATTCCCTCTGAACATTTAATGTGTATTCTCTATTTTTATCTAAGTTGAAAGAGTTTTTATCATCAACACCCTATCTAAATGAAAGGGAAAAGGGAAATGATAGATTTAGTGGGTTACTAAAGATGATAATATAGTATCTCTTTTGAAAAGATTGAGGATTGGGCAACAAGGAGATGTCGTAATAAGACAAATATGCGAGCATTATGAAACACTTCGATGACAAAAGTGACAATGAACACTTTGAAATTATGTACAATAATTTTAGATGCTTCCTTTTTTTAGACATTCTAGAATGTGTAGAATAAGAAGTTATTTTAAAATTTCATAGTCATAATTCTTTTTTCTTAAGTTTTATTAAATATCTATGAGTAATAGATGATTAAGAACACTCCTCCTTTTACTAGGAAAATCATTAGATTATTTACCTCTGAGCCAACTCTAGATACTAGCTTGAGCCAAGGCCAACTCAGATAACTAGTGGATTGGTTTGGTGGTAGAAACCCAATAAACTATTCCAAACCATGAAAACGCAGAGAAATCAAAATCCCCACAGAAACATAAATAAATGCAAAGAGGGATGGAAATCCCATAGAAAACTCTGAAGTAATTAGGGTAGGGAGATCAAAATTCCTAAATAGTACTGATAGAAGCGAGGGCAAAAACATACATGTGAAACTCCTTGACCTCCACTACGCAATAAAAAAAAAAGAATAGCAAATAACAAACACATAAAAATCTTGGTAGACAAATCCATCAAAAGTACCTCCTGCACAGAGAGATCGAAGAGCAAAGGGGAAACATAGATGAACGAAGATTGAATGTAGCTCTCTCTAGATCACTCGCCTTCGCACACAGGAGCTGCACGAGAGATTAATAGTTAATAATCAACAGAAATGGAGAGCTGACTAACAAAGTTTTATAGAACGATTGCTGATTTTAAGATAGTTACAAGAGGGAGAGTTTGGCATGAATGTAAGAGACAGCACATGAAACAGAGTATTCAAATTTTAACAATTCAAGCACAGAAGCAATACTAACTAACATTGAAGAGATTTTATTAACACCAAAAAGAATAAATTACATCGACTTTAATGTTAAGTGTCACTAACATAGCCACACATATGAACCCCATTCAACAGTCAAACCACGTGTAAGACATTCATTTGATCTTACCTCGGCTCACACTTCAAAACCTGAACGGATTGGGAAGTCCAAGCCATGTAGTGCAGGTACATCATGTAAATCATTCTTTGAAAACATTGGGAAAAACCAAAACAACTTGTTGGAACCAAAAACCTGAAACAAGAGCCGGGCAAAACAGTCAGGAAAATGAATATATTATAGTTTCCAAGTCAAATAATGTACCTGCTCAAAATTCTTCCTCTTCCCCAGATCATATTTCCACTCAACCACATTCTTCTTTTCATAAACCTGAACGGAAAAAATACATATTAAAAAATGGATTATTTTCTATTGAATCTTACATTGTCACATTTTGCATGGTTGATGTAACGAAAATGCTCAACCTGTTTAGCAAAAATAATGTCAAAAAAAAATAATTCTGTTAATTATCTTGAAAAACATCATAATCAGCGCAGGGATCTAACAAGTTGGTACCTCTATAGTGGTGGTATTGCTCAATACCAGCGATGTGTGCATGATCACAAAACAGAGTAAACTCAGTGCGAAGGCCACATTAAGCACTGCATAAAAAATTAAAAGCCCATGAGAGACCTGCCAGTGCAGAAATTTGAACGATTGTTTCAACCACGCTTACCAAAAGAAAGGAATGTGACCGCAAGATTTCCAGGGGAGCCAGAATGATTACGGGCTTCTCCAAAGAATTTTATAAAATGTGGAAGTAGTGCAAGAGAATCCAAGACAGTCTCAAGGAATGTATAAAACTGAAAAAATGATAATTAACTCTCTGAAAGTTTCACACAACTGGATGGTGACAAGCAACAAAAGCCAACCACACCAGTTTTGTAATATTCAACCATAATATTATGTATATAGCATGCGTCACTTGCAAAGAAAACAGGCATCCAATTGAAAAACACTTGAGACTGGTAAAAAAAACACCTTACCTAAGCAATATTTACATGTTAATGTCTCAAAACTTCACCAAATATGCTCTTTTGTGATAAATGTTTTAGTCTTTTGCAAGCAATATTTACATGTTAATGTCTCAAAACTTCACCAAATATGCTCTTTTGTGATAAATGTTTTAGGCTTTTGCTGAGATAAACAAGTTTTGATTGCCAGTCTTTCGTTGACAAAAATAAGTTTTGTTTAACATCTACTGAAAATTAGAGACTAAGTTTGAGAACAGCGGCTACTTTAGGGATTCAAAAACAAGATTGGCCTGGCACTTAACATGAAAAAAAGAAAATGGTTTCTTCCCGGATAGATATAATATTATATTAACATTAAATTTATATATTAATAGCCTTTTGTCTAGACCCTAGGGAAAGGTTTGCAAGGAAAGAAATTTGAAGCCTGAATCCAATCTGATTGGTCTGAAAAATTGCACTAACATTTGCAAGCTTGAGCTAGTTTGGCTATTTGTCTCCGATCCTCTACTAATGACAAGTTTCTTCATATTAACATGACTAGCATAAGGGTGCATACCATCCACGAAAACTAAGGGGCCATTGGGATCACTTTTATTTTTTTATTTTTTATTTTTTGTTTTTATTTTGTTTTGTTTATGTTTCGATTTGAAACAAAACATGATTGGCTATTTTATTAAAGTATAGTTATTTTTAAAACACTCAAAAATAAAATTGATCCCAAATAAGCCCCATGTTTTTTCAATATGCATGTTCCACAATAAAATATAGCTTTCAGAAGTCATGTAATGTTCTCATTTTGCTCATGTTTCATAACCATTCCTAATAGAGAAAATGCAAATTGAAAAAAATCTGTATACTTCCAAGTAGCATGCAAAATGCAAATTTAATTGATATATCTAACTCAGCTGGCCAGATTGAAGAAAGCGCCCCCTTTTTTTTGGTGAAAATGAGTTGGGCCATGATTTCATTCTATTCAATAAATTGAGGGAGACTTTGCAAGAAATTTATCTTATGTCCACTGAGTATGCTGAGGTTCAAAATGCCATTCATGAAAACATACACAGCCATATGGCGGCATTAACCAATCTTTCTAAGTTCGTACAGAATTACAATCACCAAAAAATGAAGAATTCTGAAGTACCAGAAATAAAAGAAAGAATTTATAGTTGCGCGCACCAACACAGTTGACAACCCATACGCAATGATGATCCATCTTAAGCACACATTTCTGACCTACAAAGATACAAATATAAAATCAAATTCCAAACAAGAGCCACTGCCCTAAAAAAAGGGGGTTAGGTGGTGAAGAAAAAAACAAGCAAGCAACGCAGACTTCTAAAACAAGAAGTGCTCAATATTCTAAAAGTCAAAACAGCTTGAAATGCCACCATAATACCATCCATGAAGCTGCCTGCTGCTGAGTATTGATACTTCTAACTTTATTTTGGCAAATCTGAAGGCTAACAGAGAAATAATAGATGCATAATTCGTCATCAAAATAAACAAGATCCTTCTTTGAAAATGTTCCGAACACCCAAAAATTTTTTGAGAAAATTATGTTCTTTTCTTTTATTAGGGCTCAGTTTTTGCTTCAGTTTTTCTGCCGTTGGTGTTTTTCTCCCTTGCTAGGACTGTATCCAAGGATAGGTGGTGCTCAGGTTGTATTCTGCTCTACGGTGGTGACTATCTCATATTCCTCCCTCCTTCGTGCCCCCTGATTGCTGCCACACCCTCCAACAGCCCGTCTACCTGCTGCCGCCCTTCCAAACCACTGTAGATTGCCGCCCTTCCAGACCCCTGTAGATTGCCGCCCAATCCCAGGCCTTCCCTACTTGCTGCCATTCAGCTGCCAGCCACCCCGCATCCCTCGTTGCCACCTTCCTACCACTTTTTAAGTTCAACCCTAGTTGGGAGTTTGTGTGTGCATCTCTGTTGGACTTTATTTCTGTTGTTTGTTTGTTCTGCTCATTTGAATTTCAACAAAAATATTATTGTTCCGTTATAGTTTGGGTTAACTCCAGTATCACATATCATAAGCTTTTTCAAAATTAATAAAAATCATATGTAGATCCTCCATACTCTCTATACTTCTCTATCAAACTTCTTAATAAATATATAGCTTTCAAAGTAGACTTGCTCGGAATGAATCCAAACTGATTTTGAGAAATTTTTGTATCACGTTGTAACCTATATTCAATTACTCTCTCATAACTTTAATGTATACTCTATAATCTAGCCCAAAAACAATGAGGACCAAAAATAAAACAAGTATTCTTTTTGGATCCAGAATCAATAACACCAAAATCAACTTAATTCGGTAATTAGTTTTATTTACTACACCAGACCAAACTACCCATCAACTGTCATTTGCCAGTATGATCAATTAATATCAGAAAAAACAACTGAACGGTATGTCACTCCATCTTAACACAATTTTACTTAGTTTAACTGACCTAATTTTCCAAACACAAAAGTCAAATGCTCCAACAACAAACCGTTACCTCTCAACCATCTTTGTCTCTTCTTTACCCTTTCTAGCAAATGAAAAAATGCTTATCAAAAAGGTCAGCGCGCGAGCTCATCCTTTTAAGACATCCTCCAGATGGGATGTAAATGGAAAGGGGATAAATGAACAAGCATAAAGACCACTGAAACGAAAAGATAATGAAGAAAAAGGTGGGAGCTGGTTAAGAAAATTAGACCAAAACCAACAGATCATGAAAGCCTGAGAAATAGCATCAAAAACCAATAAACGCTGGCTCAACTACACAGCCTCAGATTTTGAATAACTAAGTTCGATAGGTTTGCTTCGAATTGGCAAGAATCAAAACAATTGAACTTCCATAGCGAGGCTAACACCCTTACAACAATGTATTTTCAAAGAGGAGACATCCATTACTTGATTGGAAAATACTATATAAACTAATATTTCTTTTTTAATATTAGACTTGTACATTTTCAATGCAGAGTTATTTGGTCCACTACTCATCTAAGCTTCTTTCTGCTAATAAGCATCTAATTTTTACGACTAAAACCTTATGTAAAGATCAACCTAGTTGCTACATCTTCTTTTAAAGTGAACATGTATTTAAAATTTGAAAAACCACTACAACCAACCTAATGACATTTAGGTGTAATAAGAACTTCTAATCAAGCTATCACTATTTGCAACGAAACATTCATTTGTTTCATGGTGGTTTAAGAAATGAAAAAATAATGAAGAAACGGAAGAGTAAAAAAGAGTTCTTTTACTCGGAAAACAAATACTTGAGAAAGAATGATGACTTCAAAGTAATTACACCTATCAAATAAACCTTTAACTTTAAAAAGAGTTCTTTTACTCAGAAAACAAATACTTGAGAAAAAATGATGACTTCAAAATAATTACACCTATCAAATAAACCTTTAACTTACAAACAGAACAATGATGGCAGCGTGGAGGCTTGTTGTTTTGACAATGACTACAGTAACGTATGTTTGACCTTCTGCCAGATCCCTCTGTAGATGAAAATTCTGACTCCCTGGCAGCACTGGCAGTGTGATCTGCCAAGGTGACAGAATCATCCAATGCTAAGTAGTTTCCTTTTGGATGAGGTTCCCAACCAACAGGCACTGCACCAGGATCATGGAAAACTACCATGAAATAACTCCATAATAGCAAAACAAGCTGCAACATAAACAGATAAACAAAACAAGTCATTGCAAACAAATGGTCAACTTGAAATGCCTGACATTTTCTGCTCATATTAAACAGAAACAAGACACAGCAGAAGCCCACAGACAACTAGTAAGATCAAAACCAAGCAAAGCTAAAAAAAATTGCTCAACATAATTTTCAGATAGCAACACGATCAAGGTTTGTTAACCATTAACAAAGAAATATACATTCATCATTAATTGAAGTTAAGTTATGATCCTTCAAGTTTACCAAAGTTAAAATGGCATCTGTTGTGGATTTTTACTGTTTTTAACCAGACAACACTGGCATTTAGCATGAAAAACAAGTGCACATAGAGGCACGGTGCAACACGAACACAATAAACTGAAAATAAACAACAACAAAGCCTTAATCCCACTATGTGGGGTGGGCAACATGAATCCTTTTTCTCCATTGCGTCCTATTTAGTGTCATATTTTCATTTCGTTCTAATAAATTAAGATCATTTTTTATATAATAAGACCAAGACTTCGTAGGTCTACCTCTGCCTTTCTTAACATAAGTCGAATCCAAAACATCTACTCAATTAGATCATCAGATGGTCGACGCTTAATGTGACCAAACCATCTAAGACGACTTTCTCTAATTTTGTCCGTCACAGGAGATGCACCAACCTATCACGAATATATTCATTTCGCATTTTGTCTCTAAGTGTAAAGCAACTCATCCACCTAATCATTCTCATCTCGGCAACACTTGAATTTAATATTATGCTTCTCTTTTAAAGGTCAACATTCAGTGGCATAGAGCATTGCAGGTCTCACCACCATCTTATAAAATTTTTCTTTCAGTCTAAGCGGTACTTTTCTATCACACAGAAGGCCCGAAGCATTCCTCCACTTCAACCAACCAACTTGAATTCTACTATTAACATCCCCATCTATATCACCATCTCTTTGAACTACAGACCTGAGATATCTAAATCGTTCACACCTTTTAATAATTTGATTACCCAAAGTTACACTTCTATCACTAGAGCTACTACTACTAAAATTACATTCCATGTATTCAGTTTTAGTTCAACTCAAATGAAGGCCTTTAGACTCCAATGTAGACCTCCATAATTCAAGTTTTTCCTGGCCTTTTTCTCTCATCTTATCCACGAGAAGGATATTATCAGCAAAAAACATACACCAAGGTACATCCTCATGTAAATGTCAAGTAAGACCATCCATAACTAAAGAAAAAAGATGCAGGCTTAAAGTCGATCCCTGATGTAATCCAACAAAAATAGGAAAATATTTGGTCAATCCTCCTTCGGTTCCGACACAAGTAATAGCTCTAGTATACATATCTTTAATGAATTGAATATAAGTTGTATCAACACCTTTCTTCTCAAAAACTCTCCAAAGGAAATCTCTTGGAACCTTATCGCAAGCTTTTTCTAAATCAATAAAAATCAAATGTAGATTCTCTTTATTATCTCTGAACTTCTCCATCAAACCTCTCAACAAATGTATAGCTTCCATAGTAGACATGCTCAGCATAAATCCAAATTGATTATGAGAAATCTTTGTAATACGTCTTAACCTATGTTCAATTACCCTCTCCCATAATTTTAAAGTAGATCAACTTAATTCCTCTATAATTTGCACACTCTTGTGCATCCCCTTTATTCTTAAAAAGGGGGACCAAAATACTCTTCTTCCACTCCTCATGCATCATTTTAGTTTTTAAAATAATATTAAAGAGTTTAGTGAGCCAAGAAACTCCTAAATCTCCTAAATATTTCCATACTTCAATTGGGATCTCATCAGGTCTTATAAACTTTCCACCCTTGGTTTTCTTTAAAGCCTTCTCAGCTTCTTTTACTAATGCAACAATAAAAATGAAACGTTTTATTATTATTAATAATATTAAGATCACTAAGGTCAATCGTATTTTCAGATACTTCATTAAAAAGTTTATTAAAATAACTCACCCGTCTATATTGAATATCTTTTTCTAAGAAAATCACTTTTTGATTTTCATCTTTAATACAATTTAGTTGAGTTAAATCTTTTCTTTTCTTTTCTCTTTGTTTGACTAGTTTATATATATATTTTTCACCCTCTTTAGCATCTAATCTATTATAAAGAGCATCTAATCTATTATAAAGATCATTAAAAACATAATTTTTAGCGTCACATATTGTTCTTTAGACTCCCTGCGCCCAGTTCTCTAACCTTTTACATTTAAATTAATTTTTATAACATAAGTTCTTATATTTTATCTTTTATTGCATACTATTATTCCACCACCAACTATTTTTATTTAAAAAAATTTTTCTTTTGATTCTCCAAGTACATTTTTTGTTACTTATTTAATAGTATTTGTTAATTTATCCTACATAACATATACTTTATCATGAACATCCCAAATTTTGAAATCTTGAATTTTACTCATAAAAATAATTTTATTTGTCTTTTAAGCTCCCCATCTAATTCTACGATGATGAGTCCTAGTATTATTTATTTTACAACTCTTATCTTAAAATCTATAACTAATTGGGTACTTAAATCCTCACTTAGAATGATCTTACAATCTTTACAATCTCAACGATCTTTTCTTCTTATAAGAAAATAATCAATTTGTGTTTTATTAGATCCATTCTTATAAGTAATAAGATGCTCATCTCTTAATAAAATATTAGTAATAACAAATTCATACGCTAAAAAAAAATCTAAAATAGCTCTACCTTCTTCATTAGTCACTCCAAAATCGTAGCCACTATGAATATTTCTAAAATTTTTTACCACTACTTACATGTCCATTTAAATCTCCTTCAATAAAAATTCTTTTTTCAAGAGATATCATTTGTATTAAATCTTCTAAGTCGTTCCAGAATTTATCTTTAGACCCTATATTTAAATTTACTTTGAGCATCGACACATATAATATTAAAAATCTTAGTGTCAATGATAATCTTAAGGGCTATAATTCTATCTCCAACAAAATTCTAACAAAATTTAACCAAAAAAGAGACCTTTAACATATGTTACATCTAACAAACAGAACTCTGAAGCAAAAACCATTTTTATAACTATTAGTGTTAAAAGCACAAAGAAGCGTTGGTTTTAAGTATGATACAGACTAGAGTGGCAAGGTTGTGAATCCTTCTAAAAAAGGACTTGCGCCATAAAAAAGATACTCAAAGTAGCAAAGCTAGCATTTTAAAGTTGCTTTGTAGAGTGCACAACGTGTTCTCCACACTTTACTAGTTGAAGAAGAAATCCGGATCTGTGATATATTGATGTTATGTGCTACTCATCACATCAGGTGAGTGCCTTATTATTCAAAAGTTATTAATAAGTTTGCCTGATAATGTTTGGCTTACAATGCAATAGAACATTTCATTATTTCGATTTGTACAATGGTTATTAAATAGTATAATACTATGTAATGTTACTTGTGATGTATGTGTTTCAACTAACTAAAGAATTTGCTCTATGTACATTTCAAGCTTCAACGCTAAAAACTCTTTTTACACATCTCATTGCACTTTGTGCATTAATAACTTTATTCAGAGCAAAAGTTAGGGTACCAGAATCTAGCTCCAAATGCCTCGATCAATTATGAGCTTATACACAAGCTTCTAAATTACAATCATCTAAAATCAAGGTTGGAGATTGCTACCTTAATTTTTCTATAAGTTTGATAGAAGGAATAATAATTATTCATCTTCAATTTCCTAAGACTCAATTATAAGATAAATAACATAAGAAGGCCGTCATATTAGGAAAGTCACAAAATCCTCATGCTAGAAAAAGGAAATTGAATTTACCAACAATAGATAATTCTAAAAGTAGAAACAACTAAAAATAAAAAAAAAAATATAAAAATAGAAGATACCAAAAACAAAAATTCCTTAAAGTCCGACACTCTCAAGTTGGAGCATAGATATCTATCATGCCCAGCTTGCTTAAAAGAAAATCAAAACTAGCCCTGATAAGTCCTTTGGTGAAGATATATGCCATCTGCTACGGTGTTGGAGTGAAAGGCACGCAAACAACTCCCCAATCAATCTTCTCTTTCATGAAGTGTCTATCAATCTACAAATATTTTGTAAAATTATTGCACTGGATTTTCTGCAATGCTTATGACAACTTTATTGTCATAGTACAACTTATGACATGTTTATTGAGATATGTAATTCTTCAATAACTCTCTTCAACCATAACATCTCACATACTCCATTAGACATAGCTCGATATTCAGCCTCAGCACTACTCATTGCCACCATTTTCTATTTCTTACTTCACAATGTAATTAGATTTTTCCAGACATAGGTACAATATCTAGAATTTGATCCATTTCAACAATTGAGCTTGTCCAATCTGCATTCATGTATGCCCTTGGGTTATATTGTGTGGTCTTTTGAAAGTGTAAGCCCTTACATAGTGTACTTTTTAGGTATCTGAGAATTGTGTTATCTGCTTCAAGGTGATTCTCATAGGATGAAGCATAAATTGACTTATCAAACTCACAACAAAAGTGATATCTAGTCGTGTGGGTGAAAAGTATATCGACTCTCCCCCCAACTTTTGATCTCGAATTGCATTCACCGAATCACCTTCATTCCTATCTCCAAGTCTCTGATTGTGATCAATTGGAGTGTCTGCAGGCCTGCAACTGCTCATCCCAGCTTTTTTTTTAGAATAATTATTGGGAAGCAACAATCCTTTTTTTTTTTATCTAGCAACCTTTATGCCAAGAAAATACTTCAGAGCCCACAAGTCTTTGGTCTCAAAAATTGATGCTAGGGATGTCTTCAACTAGTTAATTTCATATATGTCATCTCTGGAGAGAACTATATTGTCCACATACACACTCAACATGATTACCTTCTCATTCTTTAAATGTCTAAACAACATTATATAATCTCCTTACCCTTATATTTTTAACAAGCAGCGTAAATTTCTAAAACCATGCTCTCGGTAACTACTTTAAGCGTA